CGCCTTCGGATCCAGCTCCTCCTGAGCCCCTATGCATGTTCGCGATCGACCGCAGAAGACTCGAGGTCGACTGTGAATCTGTCTGCCTGTTTTCTTCGTCGTTTTGATTCCAGTTCTTGTCTCGACTTTGGGTCTACACTTTAGATTAACAATCTCCCACTTGGAGACCAAAGTGCCTGCAGTGAGTTCACCCGAACTCTCCCCTTCTTTGCATGTATCCCCCCCGGAAAAAATCTTTCTTTAATTAACAATATCCTGCCGATCTTGTCGATCCTCGTAGTGTAGCTCTGTCTTCGTCTTCTACTCGTGAAGGCCAACTAAAGTTACGCACAACTCCAGTTTCTTAATGGTGACTGCCTTGGTCAACATGTCCGTTGGATTTTGACTCCCCAAAATCTTCATCAAATGTAACTTTCTGTCTTCAACTAGCGAGCGTATAAAATGGTATTTTACGTCGATATGCTTCGTTCTGATATGATATATTGGATTCTTAGCAAGATGTATAGCGTTTTGGCTATCACAATAAAGAACTCCTCTCCCTTGCTTTAGATCCAACTCTTCCAAACACCTGTTCAACCAGATTATCTCCTTGCTTGCTTCAGTCACCATGACATACTCAGCCTCGGTTGTAAACAAAATCACAATTTTCTACAGACGTGAGACCCAGCTCACTGCTGTCGACGCTAAGGTATAAACATACCCCGTGGTGCTTCGCCTCATATCATGATCACCGGCGAAGTCTGCATCCACATATCCCTGTAGCACCAACTCCTTCCTCCTGAAACATAGTGGCTTATTCGTTGTTCCTCTCAAGTACTGTAATATCCACTTCACGGCCTCCCAATGCTGTTCCCCTGGATTGCTTGCAAACCTACTCATAACTCCCACTGCATGGGCGATATCCAGCCTCGTGCAAACCATCGCGTACATGAGACTCCCAATTGCCGAAGAATATGACACCCTGCTCATATGCTCTCTATCTGCATCTGTCTTACGCGATTGCTCCTCAGATAACTTGAACTGACTTCCAAGGGGCGGCTAACAACTTTAGCATCCTGCATATTGAACCTCTGAAGTACCTTCTTAATGTATTCTACTTGGCTCAATCTCAACGTCCCTTCAGCTTTATCCCTACTGATTCACATCCCTAGAATCTGCTTTGCTACACCCAGATCCTTCATTACAAATTCTTTTGCTAGCTTCTTCTTCAAACTGTTTATATCTTCTAAACACGGTCTTGCTACTAACATGTCATTAACATATAATAACAAGATAATGAAGCTGGACTCGAACCTTTTGAAATAACAGCAATGATCCGAATTACATCTTCTGTAGCCATTGTTTTGTATGAAGTTATCAAACTTCTTATACCACTGTCTTGGAGCCTGTTTTAAGCCATATAAGCTCTTCTTAAACTTGCACATCATCTCTTTCTTTCCTTCTTCAATGAAGCCAACAGGCTGTTTCATGTAGATTTTTTCATCCAAGTTATCATGAAGAAAGACAATCTTCATATCTAACTGCTCAAGAAAGAGATCTTCTGCAGCTACCAAACTCAACATGACTCTGATGGTTGTGAGCTACACAACAGGGGAAAATATCTTCGTGTAGTCCACTCCTTCCCGCTGTTAAAATCCCTTCACTACTAATCTGGCTTTGAATCTCTTGCTTCCATCACTCTCTTGCTTGACCCGGTAGACCTATTTATTATGTAAGGCCTTCTTCTGTGCAGGTAGCTGGGCCAACTCTCATGTCTCATTAGTGAGTAGAGAATCAATCTCCTCCTGCATCACATACTCTCACTGCTGAGATTCACTCACTTGCATTGCCTCTTCATAGTACTCCGGCTCACCGTTATCTGTCAACAATAAGTAGTCAAGAGATGAAAGATATCTGGGATTTGGTTTGGGTACTCTGAATGACCTCCTAAGCTCTATGCCCTGGGTAGTTTCTTCTGCACCTAGAGCCTCCTCCGTTCTATGGTCAGAACAAACATCATCACCTTTATCTAAAAGCTCCTCTATATCCATGTACTCTGATCCATCTGTATCTGAAATGCTGCTCCCACTGCTTTGGCTATCCTTAGCATCTTTCCTGTTCTTGTACATCACCTCCTCATTGAATATCACGTCCATGCTTCTGATAATCTTCCTGTTCTTCTCATCCCAAAGGCGATACCCGAACTCATTAATGATGTATCCAATAAATGTGCACTTCTGTAACTTAGCTTCTAGCTTATCTCTGACATGGTCACTGATATGAACATAAGCTACGCAACCAAATACCCGCAAGTATGAGAGATTTATCTTCTTTCCACTCCAAACCTCCTCTGGAATTCTAAAATCTAATAGAACTGATGGCCCGTGATTAATAAGGTAAGCTACCGTATACATCGCATCCATCCAAAATATCTTAGGAAGACCTGTATGTAATCGCATGCTCCTGGCACGCTCTGTCAAGGTTCTGTTCATCCTCTTTACAATGTTGTTTTGCTACGACGTCCCTGGAGTAGTCCTCTCTAAGCGAATACTATTCGTAGTACAAAACCTCTTGAACTCCTCCAGCTCGTATTCTCCACCATTATCTGATCTCAGACATTTCACCTTCAGATCTGTCTCGTTCTCCACCATGACCTTCCACTTCTTAAAGATTCCAAACACCTCTGACTTGTGCTTCATGAAGTAGATCCACACCTTCCTCGAGTGATCATCAATGAAGGTGACATAATATCTTGAACCGCCAAAAGATGATACACTGGCTGGACCCTATACATCTGTATGAATCAACTCTAGCTTTTGAGCCTTAGGTGACCTTCCACCCTTCTGGAAACTAACCCTCTTCTGCTTCTCAAAGATGCTGTCTTCACAAACCCTAACTTCCAAGGAGTCAATCCCGGTCAGTTTTCCTTGTGAATGTAAGATCTTTATCCCCTTCTTGCTCATGTGCCCTAGCTTGTTGTGCCACAGATCTGTACTCTCTTTGCCAGTTGTAATTGTGAGGGTGTCACTCGCATGTAAGGTGAGGTAGAGAGTCCCAAGTTTATTGCCTCGAGCAACTATCATCATACCGTTAGAGATTCTCCACAAATCCCCTGTGAATGTCGAAACATAACCTTCTGCTCCAAGCTGTCCCACCGAAACAAGATTCCTCTTCAGCTTCGACACGTGTCTCACATTCTTCAAGGTCTATTTAGAGCCCTTCATCTAAATCTGTACTTCACCCTTTCCAACAATATTACATGGCTCGTTATTCCCTAAATACACTTTTCCAAAGTCCTCTGCTACATAGTTCTGGAGAAGCTTCCTGATAGCAGTGGCGTGGAAAGAGGCTCCTGAGTCAATGACCCAAGAATCCGAGTCGCTATCCATAGCAAGGATCAAGACATCATGCACGATATGAGTCTCCTGCTCACCCGCATTCTTCTTTGGACTCTTACAGACTGAAGACATATGGCCTTCCTAGCCGCAGTTCCAACACTTCCCTTTGATAGGCCTAACCTTCGAGTTCGACCTCTTCTTTACTGATTTTGACCGATTCTTATTCTGGTTTCCTTTCTTCTGGCTTCTGCCTCTCTGCTCGAAACTTAGAGCTGAACTTAAACTTCTGATTCGGACGATTTTCTTCTAACCTCCTCGGATAGAATCATGCTAACCACCTCACTCAGCTTTAACTTTTTCTTCCCCGCCGAATTGCTGATTGTCGTCACACAACCTGTCCAACTATCTGGCAACTACGATAGTAACAATAGGGCCTGCACTTCATCATCAAACGTGATATCTACGGAGATAAGCTGATCAACAATCGTGTTGAACTCGCTGAGGTGCATCGTGAAGGACCGTCCTTCTGTCATCTTGAGGTTGAAAAGAGTTTTGACGAGATGTACCTTGTTTTGCTACCGACAGTTACTCGTACATCTTCACGAGCGCTTCCATAATCCCACCATCGTCTTCTCCTTTAATATGTTGTGGGCTACTGATTTGGTGAACGACAACCGGATTTGCCCTAGAGCCTTCCTATCCAGTATCTCCTAATCACCATCTGACTCCTCTTTCTTCTGTCCTTTCTCCTTGCCCATCAACGAGTGATACAAGTCCTTCTGATATAGATAGTTCTCCATCCACGACTTCCAGTAGGCGAAGTTTGAACTGTCAAACTTCTCGATCTTTGATTTGTTTTCCTCTGCCATGGTTTTCACACAAATTACTGAACGAAGCTCTGATGCCAGTTATTGGGGATTCAAAACAATCAATTGAACTCTTGCTCTTCCGGACCTTGTGTTGAAAGTAGGAAAGTAGAAAAAATCACCACAAATAAAGATCTGACCTTGCAAAATAGTAAAGGAGACGAACACACAGATTTAATGAGGTTTGGCAACGTTCCTACGTCCTCAGGAGCCACACTACACAATTTCTTTATTAATTGAAGAAGAAATACAAGCTCTCAAACTAGGGTTTAATCTTTCTGAGATTCTCTCTCTTTCTGTGGTCAAAAATTCTCTTTTTCGTGTTCTTACAAACCCTAAAAATCGTTTAAGGTATATATAGAGTCCTGGTAGAAACAGAATCTAAAACAGTTTAGGAAACTGGCTGACTGCGTCGCGGTAGACGGTGGTCGTCGACCGTGCAGGTCTCGCGGTCAACCATGACGGTTGACCGAACCAAAACCCGAGACCAAAACCAATTACAGATATTTGTGCGGTCGACCGCCGCGGTCGACCGCCTTTGGATCCAGCTCCTCCTGAGCCCTTGTGCCTGTTCGCGGTCGACCGCAGAAGACTCGCGGTCGACCGTGGATCTGTCTGCCTGTTTTCTTCGTCGTTTTGATTCCAGCTCTTGTCTCGACTTTAGGTCTACACTTTAGATTAACAAAAGCATGTATACATAGATTCATATAAAAAGGAGAAGCTTGAAGAAAAACCAACTCGTATATAGATTGAACATTATGTCTAATTGATTAAGTTCTGGTTGTAGAAAGGTAAAAGGAAAGTTAGGATAAAGTACCGAAGGATAATTGTACTCTGCAGAGTATGGAGGGTACCTGAAAATTTGAATGAGAATAAAATTAAAAAAGAAAATATTAACAGTTATAACATACTGTTCTTCAAAAATAATTACAATTAATGCAATCAGAATACTATTCACGTGATGCTCATCATATTATTATGTAATAAACTGTTAATACTGGGTTTTCGGTTTTATTGATGCGCACATCTAGTAACAAGAGTAATACTCCCATATATAGCATTAGCAAACAGTCGTGAGGTAAAGGATTAGACTGTAGTCTATTATAACCTCCATACGTGATGCTCTCTCTCTCTCTCTCTCTTCACTCGTGTGAGTAATATTGTGTATTTGTGTGCGGGCATGGACGGTGTGATGAAGAGAAGCATGCTTCACGTATGATGGCATGCAGTATGCGTATGCAATACAATAGTGAGAAACTGTCTAGCTAGCTAGCTACTAGCTGGCTAGCATAAAACCTCAAGCACATGCATCCTTGCTTAGCAATACATGTGCATGAGAGAGAGAGAGAGGCAGGCCTGTAGAGAAAATGAAAAGGAAACGACAATGCATGATGAAGGCATGTGCGCGCAAAACACATGGCAGCTTTTTTATGAAGAGGGGAAGAGAGAGAATAAGATCATTCTCTCACAAGCTTCACTATGGGTGAACCACGTATAAACACCATAATATTGACCAGCCATGCTCATCATCAGCACGAGCCTACATAGACAGCTGTGATACCATGTGAGTGACCCATTGCTAGCTAGCAAAAACCTTGTAGTCCACTACCATAGCATAACGTACCCCTGATCAAAGTGTTGTGTACCACCCACGTGCAGTGCATGTGACCCTTTTTACTACGTGAGATGACATGTCACTTCCTTAAAAAGCCTTTAGCCTAGCATAACAAACTCAAATTGAGGAGGAGAAGAAATTTCCATAGAAAGTGTATGGATAGCTAGCAAGCTCACTCACCCATAGACATTATAAGGAATGCCTTGGTGGATGGCATAATGAGGGGCAGCTGTATGGGTTGGAAAAGCTGTTCCCAGTCCACTCTGAATCCCTGCTGCTGCGCTTGGGAAGGACTTCATAACCCTAAAGCTCCTGTTGCAACCTACAAAAATTATTTTAAAAAAAGAAGTTTGTTTATAGTATTAAATACGAGTCAAAATAAAATTTTTTATAAGTTTATTATAAGATTTTTGTGTAAGGCACCATTGGTAGTTGAAATGTAGAGATTGTATACATGCATTCACAATGGAGTAATTTGCTAGGGTTACTAACATGTTGTACTACACATTATTTTCATATCTCATGGATTCTTTTAATTACAACAGTTTGCTATATATAGAAGTAATAAGGACTAGTTAGTGGCTACTAATCAAGACTAGATCGAATTAATGATAAAACTGTTGAGTTGTGTTATGCTAGTAGGCAAGTCCCAAGTTTTAAGTCCAGACTGCAACTTTTTTGTGAAAGTAAATAACGACAACAGAGAAGAAACTAGCTTAAGCAATTACTAATGCCATTGATTTGATGTAAAAATTAATAATTGTAATGTGTTATTAAACTAATATATCATTGATTAGCTGTAAAAATTAAGATCAATATACGGAATGATTTTCATAGTTTACACAATCACAATAACCTTTACATAAAATAAAAAAGTAACCCACATTCTGGCTTACTTAATTCTCCCTATACGTCAGAAGTGTCAAAACATTATTTTACCTAAAAATTTGAGCAACACTAAATTTGATATGAACTATAGCACAACTTTACCATTTTGAGGTGTGGTTGGTGTGGATCTCTGAACCCCTAAAGAAGCAAGGTTGCAGTTAGCTCTCCTTCCATCGATCACTGGCGCCGGATCTACACAAGCCCTCATGGCTGCTTCTGGCTCAGAAAATGTCACCTAAAGTATTGCAATAAGAAATAAAAGAAAGAAGAAAAACACATGCTTAACAACCCTATTTTCCAAATCTCTCAAACAAGAAGAACAAAAAGGAAATAACTCCATCAAAACTAAAAAAAATTACATGTAGATCTAGGTAAATAATTAAGGTGGAAAATCTTCTAGATCAAAATTAATTACGCGTACATAAAATGGTACGTTCATAAAAGAATGAACTTACAAATCCATAGCCTTTGGATCTGCCACTATTTTTGTCAGTGATGACCACAGCCTCCAAGATATCACCAAACTGCTCAAAGTATTTCCTCATCGTTTCCTTCTGCGTCTCCCAAGCCAATCCCCCAACAAACACCTTGGTGTATGTTGTATCCCCAAATTGCCCCCCATAATTTCCTGTTCCTGCTACTGGACTCATCTTGATAGATATTAATTAAAGTAGATAAGTATGTTTAAAATCGTTTAATCTCTCTCCCTCTCTTTATTTGATTTGTGGTTGATCAAAGCCAGAGAAATTGGTTGAGGCAAGAGATTGAAGAGGGAGAAGAAGAAGATGAAGGGAAGAAAAAGTGAAGGTGGGAAGAGGGAGGGGAGGGGGGGAGCGTAGGGCTTAAGTCATATTTATATATGTCTAACATTCATTATTAATTTGTTGCATTATCCTTTTTTAATCAATAAAGTTAACCTAGACGCTATTGGTCTTATTCATTAGTCTTGTCCTGTTGTCTGTAATTGACAAAATAATGCAACAAGGGTTGGAGTAACTGTCTATTATGCGCTCATTGATTTTCTATATTTACAAAATGTGTGGGAGATGATGGGGGCTATTGGCATGTTTGCTATATCCACTTCTAAACAGTAACTTTTGGAGTTGGATTGCCGAAAATGCTCTTTTTGAACTTGGTCTGGTTTGGTTTGGGAGAAGGGCAATTTAGTCCTCACACACCCCCAAAGTTACTGTTTGGGAGTGTGAATAGTTGGACCCGGGCTATTGGGAGTGGCAAAAACGGAACGGAAAGAAGCGGAACAGGATTTTGGGGAGCAAAAGAAAAGTTCTTTATTATATTGTCTCGTTAATAAAAAGCCTCTATCACTGTGAACGACACTTGGGGACACATTATGTGCTGCTACAGTTCTACTTTGCGTGAAAGTAATGAGGTTATTATTTGTTTCCTATTACAAATATGATGATCGCCAATTGGTCATCTCATTTTACCATTGTTTTGTTTGTTCTTGTGCTGGTGTATCTTACATGTAAAAAAAGAAGATGGATTGAGAGTAGCAGGATCCAACCCACATCATTAGCCTAGAAAGCTGCAGGTTAATTTTTTTTATTTGTATATCTATTTTGTTTGGTTTCTACGGATTACTTCTTTGATTATATTCATGTGCTTCTAAAATTAATTGCGTTGAATTTTTTTCTTTGGACTGGTGTTTATTTTTATTTATTTTTTTTAAATGAAAACTCTGCTTTTTATGAATATTTATGAATATGAGCATAAAAGTGGCTTATACCAATTACTTATAGCATATTACTTAAGGATGTGTGTGACTTTTATTTTTAAAATTTAAAATTCAAAATTAGGTAAATTAACCACAGTCCGTCCTTTATAATATCCATCTTTATTTATATTATTAAAATTAAAGAAGAGAAAAAAGAAAAATATTTAGGCAGATAGTATTTATTTCAAAATTTTAAATTCAAAATTACATACATCTATTACCATCACTCTTTTATAATATCTCTCATTTTTTATTATATTTTAAAAATAAAAAGGAATGTAACAAAAATTCAACGTTGCTTGTGTGATCACAACATTAAAAATTTCTCTTCGTACGTGTAGGAGCTATGAAAGTTTTGTCAACCAGAAAAGTTAATCATCTTAAATTGATGATTCATTATAAAGAAAATTTTGAGATTTGTATGAATTAAGAGAATATTGAGTTAAACCATGCAAAACACAAGGCAATTAAAAAATATTATATGTAAAATATTAACATATTAATATAATCTAAAATAATCTCATGCTTAAAATGTAATTGTTACATAATCTCGCCCTCATTAGAAAAATATATGTGCCTTTAACAACAATTATCCATAAAATAATTTGACATTATACTATTTTGCATTTATGATTTTATGTGGAGGCTGTTTGTATGAGTTTTTTTTTAATTTCTAAGTATATGATTAAAATATTTTTTTAACTATGAATAATCATAATTTGACTAGGATTATTAAATATTTGATTACTATATTTAATTTTCTAATTATTGACTTTTTGATGAAGATTCTTAACTAGGCCAAGATGGGATTTAGTGTCCACATGGCATATTCTAATAGGACAGAGGACCACATTATTATTTTTTGATATGACATATCTCAGGTTCTTTGTGCAGTTAGGTGACACATATTAGTTCTTTTGTGTCATCAGGAATATCACCAATTTCTCATTATATATATAGAGGGATACCGTATAAAATTTCAATCCGCATGCAGTTTGATATGCTTTATCCTTTTGATTTATGCTACTTTATTAATCTTATATATATTTGTAACTGGTTGACCGTTTGATTATCGTCTTGATAACAAGCATAACTTGAGGTAACCTCGATATCATAAACAAGATATTATTAATATCTTGTTTATGGTTTGTTTATACCTTGAATTTTTCCCAACGGGAATACTATACCGTCCAATATAAGCGCAATTGATCAATCAGTAGAACAATGCTAGTTGATTGGAATCTTTGAAATACTTTGTGGCAAAATGGCCAGATTGGTATATTTTCTTGAGGCTTGGTGACAAGTTGGTATATGTTTTTTAAGTTTTGTCAAATTGGTATAAATTTTCAACTCCGACGCCATATTGGCCTTAAGTTTGGCCGGAGTTACTGTTCCGGCCAGTGTTGATGGGATTTTTTTGCATAAAACTCCCTTGTAAAAAACTTATCCTGCTCCTAACCCCCTCCCCCTCCTCCGCATCCTCTTCCTCCTCCTCATCCTCTTCCTCTCTCCTCTTCCTTGCTCTCTTCTTCATCTCAACCCAATCCCAGCTCCCTTGTAAAAATCTGACTTCGTCCCTCCTCGCTTTTCCCAGACCAAAATGCTTCGTGAATTAACAAAGTATAATAACAACAATAAATAAGATAAAATGTTGGTTTACGCACATATAGCATATAACAATACATGATACACACAAGGAGAAACATCAGACGCATGCGATAGCGAATACCAATATATATAAAAATAATAATAACAAGCGGCGAAACATGTAAATAATTAATTTTTAGGGAGCCCCGTGCCGCCTCTCACGGTGCTCCCAAGCGCGCACATCCTCCTCGGGGAATTGGACCTCCGGGTCGGATCTTATCCTGAACTCCGGCATTCCAGCCCCAAGTCCAAGTTCATGGCCTTCTGGCATGGATCCTTGGGTTGCAGTGGGCCGGGCGTCCACCACGAGAAGAGCGGACAGCAGGAGGACGGCCCAAAAGGACCTTATTATGCTTCTTTCCATCTTATTATCGCTCTCCTCCTCCTCTCTCTCCGTGGGATTGGGTTGAGATGAAGAAGAGAGCAAGGAAGAGGAGAGAGGAAGAGGATGAGGAGGAGGAAGAGGATGCGGAGGAGGGGGAGGGGGTTAGGAGTAGGATAGGTTTTTTACAAGGGAGTTTTATGCAAAAAATCCCATCAACACTGGCTGGAACAGTAACTCCGGCCAAACTTAAGGCCAATATGGCGCCGGAGTTGAAAATTTATACCAATCTGACAAAACTTAAAAAAAATATACCAATTTGTCACCAAGCCTTAAGAAAATATACCAATCTGGCCATTTTGCCCATACTTTGTAAAGGGATTTAATGTATAGACTATTAAATATAATTTAGCTTACTTTAATTCCTGTTTGGCACTTTCATATAAAAGACTAATGCTTGTGTTAAATGTTGAAGATATTCTTGATTTAATTTCCACCTTCTGATTGAAGACATTCAAGTTAATATAAGAAGCAAAAGAATACAGGAAGTCCATGTTAATAGGGCTGTTTGGATGCTTTTAGGAAACTAGAGTATTTATGACACAAAATAGAAAGTGGTTATCCACCTCACCACTTTCTATTCAAGTGTTTACATTGTTTGGTTAGGAATCTTTATGAATCCAAAAATAATAGTATTATATTGTTTGGATAGTATAATGTAAACTAGAGTATTTATGACACAAAATGGAAAGTGGTTATCTACCTCATCACTTTCTACAAGGTTTTGATTTTTTTATTATTTTTTGGACATATTTATGACATTGTGTCAGCTTTCCAACAAAATCACTCCTAATTTTAGTGATTTTGCTTTTGGTGACACCTCATCAAAAGGTGTAAGCTTTTCATATAAAAAGAATTTAAACAAACAATGTAAAGTGATGAAAGTTGACATTGAGACCCACTTTTTTACAATTTCCATCCTTTTACATGGTAAAAACATACAACCAAACAGCCCCTGAGTGTCTTTGGACACTCTTTTGAAAAAAAAAAAAGAAGGGGACCCTCCCTTTACCTCTCCATAGTGGTCCACTGAGTTTACTTTCCACCAACTTCCCGGTAGGCTATGGCAACTGAGACCAGGAACGCATTGTTTGATCTTAAAATTAAAAGCATTTGTTTGGTTGCGCCTAGCCATCAAATTAACTAGATTGACAATACATCTGTCTTGACAATGTTATCTAGAAAGTTGTTAGCTCTTGCATCACACTCTATATATATTGCCAATCTGGTTCTATCTAGAAAATTTAAGCTGGCGAAGGTAGCTAGTTGGTCAATAATGCATATCAAACTAAATAAACTAAAACATGAAAAAGGCCATGTGAAAATAGCTCAAAATAAATGTCAATCAAATTGATTGGGGTTTAAGTAGGGGTGTCCAAAAAGCCCGGAGCCCGGGTCCGGCCCGGTCGTGCCCGGACCCGGCCCGGGCCCGGAAACCCGGGCAAAACCCGGGTCCGGGCCCGGGCCCGGGTCCTATTTTTCGAGGGTTTTTTGGTCATTTACCTAGGGGGCTGCTTCTATAAATAGAGGGGGGGTTTCAATTCATTTTCTCACAACAAAACTCATCTATTTCTCTCTCTACTACTCTCTTATACAATCTTATACTATCTCATACTAATATACTATCCTATAATCTTTTGTATTTTCTAATACTTCCAACAAATGGCTTCTGGGTCTGATTATGAAGAGCAACATGCAACTCCTACCGATCCAGAGATGAGTCCTCCTACAACAACTCCTCATCCTACCGGTGTTAATCCTGAATCTGGTGGCGACGAATCTACGGCACCAAGAGCTCCAAAAAGGCCGAGGTCTGATGTATGGAATTTTTTTGAGAAGATAGACGTCACCAAGGATGAACACGGTAGGATCATCTCTCAGAATGCGAAATGTGCGTTGTGCGGCCAGATATTCAAAGCTCATCATAAGAGCGGCACCAACCATCTCAAACGGCATATTGAAAAACACAACAAAGGCCAAAATCTACAAGGTGATATCCGGCAGTCTATGCTTTCCCAATCATCCTCTTCAGGTACCCTCGGCAGTTGGAATTATGACGCTGCCCGAGCCCGGA